ATGAATCCAAAATCTGAGTATTTTTCAGTTTTACGCTGACTTAGCTTTATAGTCGAACCAGTCAATCTTTAGACAAAATTATAATGAACACAGAAGTAATTTTAACACAAATATTTTATGGAATCCGTTCCTGAAATATACAAATAATAACATACCAAAAGCCCGAAAAAATCTAATGAGGGAAACATTAAAGATATTTAATGGGTTAAAATCAAACGTTTTATTGCACAACTGCTCTGCTGGAAGCATATAAATGCATGTCGTTGCCAAGTAGTTGCTAACGAAAAAATGTGAATTATAGGGTAATACGCCCGCGCGCGATCCAAAAGCAGGGAACACATAGGTTTGTCGAGTCAAAGGGATCTGTTGCCGAGTGATCTCCTTCTCAATAATACCTCCATGGTTATATTAATATGTTATAAATAATTTATAATTCTCATCAGCTGTATTGTATTTGACTGGGGGTGGTACACAGACTTTACTACATTAACAATGTTTGCTTTTGAGGGTTTTGTTCTCCTTAATCTTCAAGGTTATTATTTTGTTAAAATGATAGAATACATGAAATGAAATCAGTAATTTTATTAAAATATTTCTGTTTTGCTTTTGTATTAATAGGATTGATGCATTGTGTGCTTTTAAGGTGCTTTCTGAAGCAGCAAAGGCTAATCTAACAGTGTTGAGGGCGCTACAGAATCTTGCAAAAGGTATCGTTCCTCCAAAGACACCAGTAGGAGGTACTCCGATCAAAGAAGACGAGAAAGATTATTCTTTTAGTGACATTTACGAAGATGAACATGATTCGGCATCTAGTCTGACAAGTACAAAGTCAAGCTTCAGTGACTTAGAAACCAGTGAACTCAAATTTGATCTTTCACCAAAGCATGGGTCAAAGGACAAGCCAGAGAAAAAGAAAACAAGCCTTGATGATTACAGCAGTCAGTCACTAAGAAAATTAGTGAACATATCCATGACAGCTATGATTGACACTCCACAGGACAAGCACGCCGACTCACTGACAGACCGCAGTAGTTTCTTCAACAAAGATTCCAGAATGCTGAGTACTCCAGCTACTCTTCTGAACATAAGTAGTCGGGAAAATTTGGACTCGGCCGGGGAGTTGTCTGGGTACGGCATTAATCAGGACAGGTCACCAAGCATTGATAGCGATTTACTGCCTGGAGATGATAGTCAGGTTTACCCGAACCAGGTGGATGTAACCAAGGGGCCAAAGACAGCCATGAGATTGGCTCAAGGACCAGGCAAGATGAAGAGAGAAGTCAGTTTTGATGCTTCAGCTGACAGAGGCAAAGATGATGCAGTGACTGAACAGGAACAGAAGAGGGGTAGTGAAAGTCTAAAGAAAGCTAGTGGATTGTCAATGACATCTACTAAAACGGGCAGAATGGTTCACCCAGGTTCAGTGCCAATGGCAACATCACTACCAAGCACACCTAAGTTCCCCAGCAGGCAGGTAAGACCATACCTGGACTTCATTGCTTTAATACATTTTATTTCTTTATATTTAAATTTAAATCTTGATGCTGAGATAAAATTGATTCTCAAGAATCTTGTAATTAGCAAGTTTGATAAACATAAGCTAATTCTGCCTAATATTATTTCTTGAAAAGATGTTGTTGGCCAAACTTTACCTGTTTACTTTTTGTGTATTAATTTTATTTATGTTTTTAATATTATTCATTATTTATCATTGTTGTTTTGATGTTTTGTTATGAAAAATATGAATATTACAAATCATAATACTCTTTAAGTTTCTGCATAGTCAAATAACAATGATAAGTGTTTGCATTGCACCACATACACTACATAGTTCTTAAAAGAACTGTTGTTTTTATTTTTACATCTCCTGATGAATAAAGCAACTCAACTGACACTCTCAATGAAAACAACCCATTTCAGAACAAATCTACTTGATGTACCCCAAACATATATCTTACATATCATGTTTATTTTCTAGCTTCCAAACATGCTGGGTTTGATTGGTTGGCGTTGGCAAGTGGCATTTGCATACACAGAGTTAATGGGATACTTGTGTCTTCATGGAAGTACATCAAATATCAGAAAGGTTGCTCTTATCGGGGATAATAAACAAGATTCCCTATCCTATAGGAAAAGGAATGAATCATTGGGTGTTCCGAGTGCAGGGCTACTGGACCTTGTTAACTTCAAAATGAGTTCAAACGCAGATGATAATGACCAAGGTAATCTATGCATACTGTTAAACCTCAGGTCCAATGCACCATTATCAAACATAACACACCTCTACTACACCCATTAGGACATGCCGACTAAATTAAGTCTAGTGCCAAACAACTAAACATTCATCAAAACTAATAGTGATGAGGATGGTGGTGATGATAGGGATGGTTAGATGCATATCTAAAGGTCTTGAAATAATAATAATAATAATAATAATAATATATCGTTCTTATATAGCGCTTCATGCCTTTACAAGGCCTCTAAGCGCTTCACATTACTACCCTGGTCATTGGATCAAACACATATGGAACACATTGAACACGAAATTAAATTAGTAAATGAAATTATATTATCATTCCATAATGAGGGGGAGGGGGTTTGATGGGGGTACAAAGGTGAAGTGCAGGGGCTCAATGATTAAGTGAGGTGGGAAAATAGGTGATATGAGGTGATTTTTATCTACTTGAGTCAAATTTTTTTGCTTCAAACATTTTCACTGGGGGCATCTGGGGGGTGTAAGTTTTTTTAAGGGGAATGCGACACTCGTGCCCTCCCCTAGATATGCCACTGGTGATGATATTGGTGATGATGTTAACCATGCTGTCGAGAACAATGACAGGAGCAACTCCAAGCTATATATTCTTTGCTCTAATACTTTACTCATGTTGTAATTGGGATCCTACACTTTCTCCAGAAGCTGTGGAAGATTGGAGTTGGCGTATCCGTTACTGTGCTGTCCAAGGTTTAGTTAAGATCTGCCGTTGCACCCAAGGAGATAAGTCAAATGAAGGAATGCGAACTGTTGCATGGAACACACTCATGAAGTGTCATTCTAGGGAGAAGGATGATAGGGTGCTAGAAGCAATACGTGTAGGTCAGGTGAGTTATGTATAATGTAGGTCAGGCCAGTTCCCTGGATATTCCAAACAGTGAACACAATCTACTTACAAGACAAACATACCCACAAGTCTCATTATGAGGGTTAGGGAGTGGAATTGTTGCCAGGAATTGAACCCAGGACCTTGGGATTTGAAGACAAGCATCATAACCACCAAGTCACCATCACCAACCACCATTAAACTCCACTCTAGTTGTTGCCTTTTGACTATTTAAAATCACTACATTCTTATGAACAACAATTGTGCTCACGTAATCAAAGGAACATGCACTTGTACGAGATACAAGATAGATTTACTTGTCAATGTGCACAACTCGTTTCATAAGGTAAAAATCTGAATGAATTTCAGTCTAGTGCTATATCAAAATTAATCATGGTGTCTTGGAATTGCATTTAAAATTCCAGTATTTTCAAAAGGAGTACATGCAATGTTGTTTTTTTTTTTCTTAGGTAGATGCCCAGATAGAGAAAGAGGCCTTGAAGATTGATGTTACACATTCATTGGACGGACGACTTGCTGCTGGTCTTTCTTCACTCTATCTTCCTCCACTTGCCCCTCCAGTGGCAGTTGCCAAACGGTCACCCCGTCGCAAAGTGGAATTACCAAAGCCAAGCCAACCACTGCAGAAGAGTCCAAATCGACCATCATTGAAGTAAAATTAAAATACATTTGTTCTTTTTAGGAAATCATTTGTAATTTACACCTATAGGCCTCTATTATGGATTTGTCAAAGGATAAACAGAAACAATAATTTGTTATTAGATGGAGGTGGGGTGTAGAATTTTGGTTAAGTGCTCTTTTTACGGTCACTATGTCATAAGTTCAATTTCTACTAAGTAACAATAGACCTTTCCGAAGACCTTAGCAACAATATCCAAGGGGAGGGGCTTAACGGGAAGGTCCTTTACATCACTTCAGAAGAATATACAGATGAATGTGTGGGTGTGTATATCTGTAGTGAGAATTATCTAAAAAGAAACTGAAAGTATATTTAGTGACCAAATACCTGGCAGTCACCAAGTAAATTTACCGTACTTTCGTGAATAAGCGCCCCGTTTGAAGAAGCACCCCTCAAGAATAAGCGCCCACCCTGACGCAAAAATTTCCTTAAGAGCCCCGTTTGAATAAGCGCCCCTTCAATAATATCATAAGATTTTTTTTTTAGCAAGTCAATAATCCAATCAATCCTGGGACTGCGGTTGTTGGCATGATTTTGAGCTGCAGAGTAAAATACCATTCTCCTTAGGTCAATATCAAAATGAGGATATTTTTTGCCGACCCCTGGACAAACAGTATATTTCCAACTTTTCTCTTCTTATATATTTGTGTAGGCCTAGTCCAACTCCTCTTTTTCTTTTCCTGACAATTTGCTGTTATGTTAATATTCACAGCATTCTTATCATGAGCCATGTTCTCTGGAGGATTATCTTTTCCACCACACCACCATTCATAATTTTCTTATATAATAATTTTTCATTCAAAAAGTGCCTCTTGAATTTAATAAGTTCCCATAAGAACCCCTCGATTTTCATCTATTTCCAAGCGCCCCCTCAATTTCCACTGTTTTCATAAGCGCCCCGTTTGAATAAGCGCCCCTCAGAAAGTGCCAAAAATATTGTAAGCGTTCGGGAGCTTATTCGTGCAAGTACGGTACAGTAATTTGTATACAAATAGTCAGTGGTAAAGTCACTAACCTACCATATTTTTCTGTTGAATATCTCTAGGGAAGAGTTGTTGCTGTCTACAGCTTTGCAGGAGAAACAACCTAGTTTCACCACCAGGACAAGTCTAGACTTGAAAAGAATTGTGGAAGATCAGGTAAGGAAATGTACCCAGGATTCCTGACCTCATTTCACCTGTTATGTGTTTACATGATTACCCTTGCAATTTTCCCACTTTGCAAATGTTTTATTCTCCATTGTTCGGGTAAGGAAATGAACTTGGTGAACTATTTGAAAAGATTCAGGGATTGTCACTTGGTCAACTGTCCATGGTAGACGCAGCGCTGCGGCCACTACAGGTCTGCAGGGCCTGACCCAAATCTCTCTGCTTATTTTTAAAATGAGGCCATATGTGGCAAAGACAAGCGAAACCAGTCACTCGTCTCAAAAATTGATTTTTAGTTATTAATACAGCAATAAAGATGAAAATGAGAGCTATAAAATGGTTTAAAAAAATCATTTAAATCCGACATTTCCTTATGAAGTTACAAGCATTTATACATAGAGCTGTTTAAAGAACAATATTTGAGAAATCAGTCTTCAAGGTTTATGATTTTGGGCATTTCTCAGGCAGAAACCATAACCAAATTTTTAAAAATTATTGTTTTACATTGAAAATAGGGAAAATAACAGCATATCATGATGTATCGATATATATATATATAAAGGTTAGTTTAGTCCAATGAAATAGATTTAAAAAATGTTGACATTTCAGCATGTTTTGGCCATTATCTCTGAAACACGATTTGCGATGAGTGATTGGTTTGGCTTGTCTTTGCCACATAGAAATAAATTTATATTACATTAAATTCTTAATTTTTACAGTGGCGAAAAGAGCTTCAGGATATGTTGCAACAAGAAGAGGATGAGAAAGAGAAAGAACTTGAAGAAAGGCAAAACCAAGAGGAAATACATCAGAAACAAGCAGCAGAAAGGAAGATACAAAAGTTTAAGAAATCTTCAAAATCACCTGTTGAATAAATTTTCTATCAACATCTATGGATAATGATGATGATTGTTTTCTTAGCTACTATAGTACTCCCATGCATTTGTGATGGTGTACTGTATCTTGAGATTATTCAAAAAAATGGGTACACTAGCTTGGTTACCAGGTGCATTTCTTTGATGTGATTTTAAATACTTCAGTGAAATCTCAGCAAGTTTTAGTGGAAGGACAAACATCCAAATTCCTCCACCCCCCTCCTCTTTTCATCACCATTGGTCACAACAATACTGTAATACTAATGGTTTGGTATAGTGTTCTTAAACTGGTACAGGGGCAGATCCAGAGAAGATGTTTTTGCAACCTACATTCAACAATGTAAATCTAATAAGTACGCTTTAAAATTAAGTAAAATCATTTTAATTTGATAAAGTGTAAGGCATAATATTATGTGTGTAAAAAGTGCTTTAATTTGAATAGGCCGATAACAATCGCATAAATAAAATAATGGAAATAGAATGCAGCATATTAAAGTGGTCTTAATGCCGTTAATGTTCTCAAAAGCTTGTATATTTAAACAGTATATTTCCTGCGTTGTATTCGCTTTCGATATATTCAGTGGCGGGTCTAGGATTTAGCAATGGGGTGGAGGTGTGGATAATGCGATTTGCGAAGCACCAAGCCTGGGGAGGGGGCTTGGGGCGTGGTTTTGGCAAGGGTACAGATCATTTCGTGAGTCCACACCCACCTTGTTAAATGATTTTTGTCACACACATGCGTCCCCTGGTCAAGGTGAGCTTGACCTAGGGGACGCTAAAGTGTTAACAATAAATTAAACAATAATTGAAATAAAATAGTAATAAGGGGCGGATTCAGAGATGGGGGGAACATTATCCCGGGGGGTCCGGGAGCATGCCCCTAGGAATTTTTGTGTTCTAGACACCCGAAAATAACCTCTGAGGCGCATTGGGCGATTGTTTTTTTCTATTTTTCTATCTTTTACGTTCCAAAAGGAGGGCTGCCCCCCCCCCCAGCTAAATCCGCCCCTGTGGTGTGTATGCATTCACAAGTGGTGCTTATGCTTTGTGAAGGAGTATTTGAAATTTATGGTTTATGTCGGTAGTCTTCGTCAACAGTCTTCTTTATGTCACAACCACTAAAACAAAAAATAGTTTTTACAAAAGGCTTCCTCCAGAACTTTTTATTGCTATAATAACAGGAATAGCAATGATTTTACTTTTAATAGTTGTAAATATATTATGAAAAATACAAATATTGAGATTTGTAAACATTTATGTAAATATGGTATTTATTTACAAGTCAAACAAATAAATTTATTTCTTCAACTTCACCTGTATGGTATCTTAGCAATGTGTTATTGTGTATTTCAATTGAGTCTCTCACTTGACACCATCTAATAACTAATATTAATTTATTAAATTTTAAATAAATTTATACTGTATGAGCTATGCAAAATACCAAAGCACATTAATACCCAGATTACTAGATTCATGAGCTACCTTGCAACAATGCAAGTCATACCACTCCCTGGAAGGTGATAGGGTAGGGCTTAAAATCATGCTACCATGATCTCTACACACATTATTAATTCACTATCTTACTAGACCCACATTAACTCTAGGGAAAAAAGACTTCAACCCTTGACCTCCTTATTAAAAGCCTACCACTGTGCCACATGATTTTGTATATATTAACGTCAATCTAGCAACATATTCTACCAGGTAAGTGCCTTGCCCAAGGACACAAGCAATGTGACAAGCGTCCGTCTCGAAACTAAAATATATATTTTGGATAATATGTCAGGGGTCCCAATTCTCCCGGAAGTCACAGGAGGGCCTCCTGCACTCTTGTGAGCAAGCAAGAATCTCACAGAAAGTACAGTAAACTATCTCCTGCAAATTCACAATATTTGCATGTTTTTACCAATTTTAAATACTGTATTTTCAATATTTTCCCGGATGTCAGTGTCAAAGGGTATCACCATCCATAGCAGAATATATTTAGATGTGTGTTAAGAAAGCTCATTTAAACAGATTTCCCGGATGTGGATCTTTCTAACTTGGGATCCCTGATATGTTCTTCATAGTTTTGATAAACAATTCTCATTATTACACTATTATGTTAGAAATTTATACCAAGAACTGATGGTGGTATGAATTTCTTTGCTTGGAGTTATTTTAAAATGTACTGTATTTTATTTTTAAATAAAGATAAACGTCTTTAAAGTTGTTAGGTTGAATAATAACCCATTTTTGCCAAACTCCCCACAATAAATAAAAATTTATTTTTGTAAGCACCAACAAATATATATTTACTAAAAACTACATTTTATAGAATTACAATTCATTAAGAGATGCCAAGATAATCGCCTGTATATTAACAAAGATACTAGAAATACAAGATAGAGCACTCGCATGGTAAAAATGAGGCGGAAATCGTGCCCGACGTAGGCGGCGCCCTTCTTTTTAACCATACAAGTTTTGAGAATTGACAATAAAATACGCGACGACTTGGTAACGAAAGTTTGGTTGAAGTTTTTTTAGATCCGATCGTCAGGGGAGTCCCATTGTTTGTATTCCCACCATGCACTTCAGTGGAACACTTTTTTTGTGTGGAGAACTCTATCTTGTGTTTCTAGTATCTTTGATATTAATCTTGGCAGTTCAATCCATAGAGCAAAGAAACAGAATCTCACCAATACTGGTACACAGTAGGAATACTGCTAATTAAATTATATATTACAACAGGTGCGGATCCAGTAGGGAGCATTAAATTTTAAAATTTTAATGTATATCAATGTTATTTATTGAAATAAGCGCTACTCACTTACAGGTATCTATTCTGCAATGTTGTGCCCACCCCCGTTTGAAAAAACTCTGGATCAACCCCTGTATTACAATTATTCCCAGCAATGGCAAACAAACACACTCCTATAGGTCAGTTTCTAATGGTGCGGGAGCGTTAGACAACCTCTTCTTTGCCAGATCTTGCTTCAGGGTCAATATGCTCATCTCCACTCGAATGTCCACGCATCGTTCACGTTCACTGTGTATATTCAACACGAGCTGGTTATTCTCCTCCTATAAAATAATTGAAGTGCATTAAATATATGAAACTAGTAGTCATGAGGTCACATGACAATGAATACAGTATATGATTTGGCTGATAGAGTTTCCCATCATGCAATTTGCTTTGTTTGAATAATTATTAATACTGATCTTAACTTTTAAAATAAAAAAACTAATCACAATACAAAACATAATACTCGAAGACTTACTTAAGAATTATAAATTTTACATAATACATAAAACAATTACAAGAATTGTTTAAAGTTGCAAGGTTGGAGTGATCACTTACATTTAATTGTTCATTCTCTTTTCTAAGCTTTGTCAATATCTCCATCAGTTCATCTTCATCCTCCTAAGATAATTTTATTAAAGAAATTTTATTTAAACAGCAAAATTTACGTACCCAAATATCTTTCTGCAAAAAAGGTACTTTAAAATAAAATCAATCCACAAAAACTAAGTTACCAACAGTAGTACTGGCACTCTGTTGTAATATGTCTTTTCTTTTACGTTACCAAATCTTCGATCTAATAGAGGGATTTAGTGATGGGCGTCATGTGACCTAACTTAGGTGTTGGATATAAACAATCCACCGACACAGCGGTGTTTTATATGGAGATTTCTATCGCGGCCGTCCCTTGTTTATTGCTGTAAAGATCACCATAATTCCCTGTAAACTATACCAAACTGATTGGAAATTAAACTTAAGATTTTTTTTTCATTTTCATTTCATTTTGCTAATGCTGACAAATGTTAGGCCTAGGCCCCTGCACATCTACGGCATGGTTGTAGGTATTGATTCAATCCATTATTCAATATTTATTTGTTTCAGTATAAAAATTAGAAACACAGAGGCTGAAATTGTGCAGTTAAATGAAAAATAATATTGCCATCGAAGGATACACTCTCACTACTACTGTTTGATGAGTTGGAACTGTTACTACTCTCAAAAGAGGATGACCTCACATAAAGTGACTCATTGCGTTCCTCCTCAGCAAGCTTCTGTCGGAGTCGTTGAACATCATTTCTTTCTGCCTGGATCCGTTCCTGTAGATCTGATTGGATCTTCTTTAGCTCTTGTTGCCGTGCCATTGCTTCTGCATGCGTGATGAGTAGCAGTTCTATCATCTCTGAAAAACAGGAAATAATTGGAATGCTGGATGATACTAATGGATAATAGACAATATATTTAAAGGGGGCCCCTGAATATAAGCCAACCTTCTAGGATAAACTGGGTTGGGGGGGAGGTTCCCCAGTACCCATTTATACTCCTGGGTAGATTGACACAAACATAGATAAAGCATCTTGCCGAAGTACTCGCATGACTTACACAGCGAGGGTTTCGAACCCTTGACCTCACTGGATTTAATGAAATAAAAATATTGATAAAGGATGATTATCGCAACCTGTCTGATACAGCAAATACAAAAAATTAATCACCTTCTTCCTCTTTAGATTGGTCCTCATTATTTTCCTTCACTTCAACATTTTCATTTTTGAATTCTTGCCTTACTTCTATGTCTCTGATGTGATCTTCAGTTTCTTTTACAGGTTCATCCGACTTTAGATCAGTTACTTTGTTTTCAACATCCTTAATAACTATTTCTTCTTTCTCAGGTTCTTGAACTTTCTCAGTCCCTACAATTATTTCCTCCTCCTCTTCTTTCTGAATATCGATCTCTTCTTCAACAACCTCTTTTCCTTTTCCAACAGCCATGACTTTTCCAACAGCCACATTATCTTCAACAGTGCCCTCTATTGGTTCATCTTTCTTATCTGATTCTTCCTCCACTACATCCTGGTTATTTTCTGTCAATACTGGTTTCTCTGTAACTTCCTCTTTTATTGGTTCTTCAACATTGGTTTTGACTTCATTCTTTTCATGTGTGTTTTCCTCTACCTTTTCAGGAACTTCTGGAACCGTTTCCATGAATACTGAATCATCTGCCTTATCATCTTCAGACTTCTCCTCAATGGCTTCTTTCTCTTCTTCCTGTCTCTTATACACATCTATAAGCGCTACTCACTTACAGGTATCTATTCTGCAATGTTGTGCCCACCCCCGTTTGAAAAAACTCTGGATCAACCCCTGTATTACAATTATTCCCAGCAATGGCAAACAAACACACTCCTATAGGTCAGTTTCAGTTTCTTTTACAGGTTCATCCGATTGTAGATCAGTTACTTTGTTTTCAACATCCTTAATAACTATTTCTTCTTTCTCAGGTTCTTGAACTCTCTCAGTCCCTACAATTATTTCCTCCTCCTCTTCTTTCTGAATATCGATCTCTTCTTCAACAACCTCTTTTCCTTTTCCAACAGCCATGACTTTTCCAACAGCCACATTATCTTCAACAGTGCCCTCTATTGGTTCATCTTTCTTATCTGATTCTTCCTCCACTACATCCTGGTTATTTTCTGTCAATACTGGTTTCTCTGTAACTTCCTCTTTTATTGGTTCTTCAACATTGGTTTTGACTTCATTCTTTTCATGTGTGTTTTCCTCCACCTTTTCAGGAACTTCTGGAACCGTTTCCATGAATACTGAATCATCTGCCTTATCATCTTCAGACTTCTCCTCAATGGCTTCTTTCTCTTCTTCCTTGTAGGTAGGTGCAATAGCTGTTTCCGAGGTTTTCCTACAAACCCGAATCTAAATACAAAGAAGAATATACTAATATTTGACACGCATTTCAAATATTTCATCACAGAACTAGGGACAGGCACTATCAAATATGTAACTATTAACCATTGACAAGATCTGTCTGGGATATTTTTTCATAACTTTCCAAAAATAAATAAGATGATAAAAGTTAAGATCACATACAATTTCTAAAACAATGTGAATAACTTTCAAATTGATGATAGAAATAAAATTGAATGCAGGTAATAACCATTTATAATCATATAAGAATGTCACAGTATTAATTTAGAATTTTCAAGAAGTACACAAGAATGCTGCAACCCTTGGGAAGTGGAGTTTTCAGAACAGAAGTCTCACACCAGCAAATTCGTTCAACTTGGAATCTGTATGGGTGTAGATCTTGCTCTTTTTATTATGTTTATATTTTTTATTCTATTGTTAAGGTTACATTGCTTATGTATTATCACAAAACTGTCGAAAGTTGCTACAGAAACAGATGTAAATGTAGAGTTCCTGTTTAAACAACTCCCAAAAGTATTGTTAAAAAAACCTATTTACGCTAATATTCTACCAGAGCAGGATACTACCGGGTATGACATGAAAAGTTCCAAAGGTCAAGGGTCAGTAAATCTAAATCCTAGATATGATTTACAGGCCTACATTTAAACTATAATATGATTCAAAGAAAACATTAGGTGAATTCAGGGCTGTTTCCTAATCCCTTTTCCCTGGGGATCTTGCTACTCGGCATGAATCTCCAAGCATCTGTCTTAAATTATGTTGTATGGTTTTAATGGCTGCAGATGCAAGCAAAGGGTTGAGGGTCAATGGGTATAAAAACTTGTTTACAATAAGTATCTGATTTTATGGTTTTCAATGTTTAGGCTGAGATCATGGCAGTACATGTAATTTATTTCATTGCAAAAAAGGAAATGATAAATTATAGTATTCATATTATTGATATTGTATTATACTGTATATGTATAATATATTACATTGTACTTTGTATTTCACATTGTATATTTCACATACAGTATTGTATTTTATACCGATAATATGTCTGTGCTTTATTTATTGAATTGTACTGTACTTTATTGATTACAGTGGTTTTATTGGCAGATATTTCTGCCACTTATGTGGCCATTTAACGTTTGTTTTGTGTACACAATAACGATTAAATACAAATTATCAGAGAGATAATAATGTTCATGTATACAGTATATTCTACATATTCATAAATTCTTGAGGTTGGAGTGCATATAATGTATACTTATGGTCACTTTGTCATGCAACAACTCGGTGGTCCTACCTTTCTTTTTAGCTGCGTCACAATCCTCTGCACTTCCCACAACTGTTCTTCGGTGTTCTAAAATTGAAAACCATATCATTTTGAGTGAAAAATGTAAACTCTAAAACATTTTTTACATAACACAAATAAAGGGAAAGCAGAGATCAAAGTCTGAAAGAAAAACTTGTTTTTTCATTGCTGGCTCAGATTATAATTCAGCTCTCAACATTTGCTCTTCAACTGTTACCTCCCATTGTTCTTAATATTTTGTACAAAATATTCGCAGGTCAATTGATTAATTTATGAACTGACCTTATCTGCAGTTCCTTTGTTCAGACGTTCATGCATTTCATTCAAGATGGCTTCTTGTTTCCTTAGTTCTTCTTCCAATATGCTAATTAAAAGTCATATTATTTAGACAGCAACAGATTTTAAGAGTTAAATACTGTAAGGCACTTTATTTTCACGGACCTTTATTTTCACGATTTTACAATTTTAAATATTTTGCATCCGATTTTATAATTTCCAGTTGTTTTTTAACATGATGCAGGAACATAACATGTTTTCCAGAATTTCGCGCCCCCTTAATTTTTGCGATTGTCGTTTTTTGCGAAAATCGAAAAAATTAAGGGCGCATGGAAATAAAAGGCTTTACAATATTACTAAATATAAGCATTTATAGAAAATTGCAATAATTGATTGTTGCAGTTAAAATGTTATTTAGATGTAAATTACCTTCCAATATGATTAACTTCAACATAGTAACATCATGTTTTACAGTTTTATTACGATGACTATTGTGCAAATCATTTTACTTAATCAACAGTCAATTAAATAACTGAAATTCTGTTCATGAATGATCTTAAAGAGCATCTGCTTTCTAATATTTCGCATGATGCATTGCAGAGCATGATTGAAAGGTAAAGTATAAATAATGATTTAATTAGAAAACCATTAATTCATTGTGTAATTGAAACAAATACAAGTTTCAATTAACTAACTCAATAATTAAAACGGATTAAACCTAGTAATTATTAATTAAATGTAAATCAATGCCGTCAACCGTTTAGTTTGTACGCAAGTGTAAAATAATGTTAAAATTTATCAGCAAATTATGTTTTTAGCTTTTTGCAGATGCAACAGAAAAACAAAATTCTTAAATTAAAATTGGAAGCAGAATAATAAATATCACTAACACAACAGATATTACAATTACACAATTAATAAATAATTAATAATAAACTCCACTAACCACCTGTGCAAAGGTGTTAGTTAATATAATGTGTGTGCATGTATTATAAGCAGGTGCAATGCATTATTGCTATCTGAGTGTAAAATACACGTCCCACATGTGTATTTTATCTTCCACATACAGAATATTAAATCGCTACATACCACCATCTACAGTGAAAATATATTTTTAAATAATAAATAATTGGTTGCAATTACACGGAACATGATTTACATAAAATGGAGACTGTTTCAATATTAGCTATACATACACAAATTCAGGTTTGGCCACACTATTCAATTTTATATGATAAATTTTTGTGATATTCCCATATAGGGGCATGGCGATGACATATTACGCCCAAATATGGGCATATCACATTTATTTGTCACATAAAATTTGATAGTGCTGATGAAGCTTTACAGGTTTGAGTTATTTCAACAAAATATAGCCAATGCCACCTACATACCTTCCACCACAAACATATACTATAGATTAAATACAACAAACAATACAAGAACCAAAAGTAAAGCAGCTTCAACCAATACAACCATATATAAAGACAAACTAAATCACAAGTAACGTACAATAAACAAAATTAATATTCCAAAATATTTTTTTCTACATTTTGGGCAAAAGAAATTAAAAGCTATGAAAATGAAACAGAGAAGTTCAGAACTACATGGAAAGACAAGAAAGAATACATGTTTATTTTTCCAGAATTAGAAAGGAACAAGCATGAACTTTGACATGAAATAATGAATAAACATGAGGCATGATTACAAGGAAGCAAAGGGTCACATGACTTACAATGAACTGTCTGGGAGCTCAAGAGATGTTCGAGAGGCGCGCCATCGTAATCGTCTTTTGACTCTAGTTGTTTAATGTGAAAGAGGGAGTGAACATTGAAGATGCGTACAAGACACAAACAAATGAAGGAGATAGGAAGCAATATGGTGATCAACTGGGCCAACTGATTGAGATGGCATCAGACATGGTCACATGACAACAAACAGCCAAATAAGCATTTAACGTTTTGTCATTGAAATTGCCTGAAATTGGTTATATGAACAATGGAGCTAATAACTCTCATTGAACAGCTCATGGTTTTAGCCAGTGGTGGATTCAAGTGGGTGGGGGTCAAATTATTTTTAAAAATAGAGGAAAAAAAGAAAATTACATTATATTCAAATTTAAGCCTTTGTGCCATTTTCAGCCACCTACAGGTGCCATAATCATAAATGTTCTTACCGCAGCCCCAATCATGGTGAGGCTGAGGTGGAATAGACCCTCCATCTGTCAAAGTCCCTCTATTTCGAATTCCTGGATCCACCACTGTTACCAATAAAATTATGTAAGAACAATCTAGTGAAACATGAGTCCATTCAGAAATATCAACTCAACAATTAACAAATTACAATCAGTCAAATCAATAAGTTATGCATATTGTAGTTAGCGTTGGGAAAAAATATAATTCACCAAATTAATTAGAAAGATTAATATGCCAACTTGTAATTTCTCTTGTGCATATGTATGTCAGAGGTCAAGGCATACAGCAATAGTAAAGGAATCAATGGATGTATTCGACTGGATCATTTCGTTGACTACAAATTTTCGTTGAGTATCGTTTTCATTTGATTGGTTCGTATAATAGGATTCGTTGACAACGAATCCACGTGACCAAAACAAACATGGCTGATTGGTCAGTTTAGAAACAACATTTACCTTAATATAGTTTAGATTAAATTTCAGAAAATAAACATTATAATATTTACCCACATGAAGTAAAAAAATAATTGTAGCCTAACAGAATTCAAAAACTGGATAAAAACATTTCTTTTAAAAAAAATCCATACTGCCACAAGCCAGAGCAATCTTGATTATGCATCTTGTATCGCGGTAACTATGCAGCCATTTTGTTTTGTCCAGTATTTACAAGTTTTCTATTCTACTGGTCGTCTTCGTTAAGCATGATTTTACCACTGCGCAGGTGGGCGAGGTTTAACGAAGAACGACCAGTCCAATACGGCTATTGTGTGTATATTCATTCGGTTTGTATTTATTATGTACATACTGCGACCTTTGACATAAACATGTGCAAAATCCTGGCATATTCTTTATACATCAATAAAAGTGTTGATAATGTGTTGATAATAAACAATCATATCTATCTCATCTGATCTTTGGATATTTAATTGGCTAAATGCTTACTTTCAAATGTTACATTACATAGCATAACATTTATTCATGGTACAATTTTCTTGTAATTTATAGTGAGGAAAATTAAAGAAAAACAAAAAACAATGATGGTGGTCTAACACAAATATAAATAATGATAATTATACAATAATTCAGTGTTCTTGATATTAAAAAAATAATTATAAATATGAAAGTGCAGATATTAAAATACAACATTGTAATGAATTTGAAAATGATAATTACATTGATTGTGGTGACGACAACACTGATGTTGAAAATGACAATTATGAAGATGATGATGTTGATAATGACAATGATGGTGATGACGATGAGGATGATGGTCATGATGATGATGGTAACAATAATAATAATAAATTACTCTTATCATCACAATAAATAATATTAATACTGTTGAGAACAACAATAACTGAATTTTTCATGTCAAGTAAAGCAACAAATATCTAACATGAAAAATACTGAACAAGTTTATATCTATAAAGCTACAAACACATTTGCTATCAGTCACTGGAATATGAAATATGGTGACAAAGGGATCTGATGTGTCCTAATGCTCTGTCCACACTAACAAATTTCTGTGACAATTATCTGTCATTTCCCCATATACAGTCATGCTTAAGTCATTTCACACCCATATATGGGCAAATCACATGTATTTGCAAAAATGTTTAAGTGTGAATAAAGCTTTAAAAATAATCATTAAAAGATACAGGATTTGTAAATTTATGCACATTTCAAATCATTTCATTCACAACAAAAAAAAATAACAAATAAGCTAAAATTGAATGTTTTTTTCAAATTTGTTTGGTGAAATCTTATTAAGTTTGCACAAGATCTGAAGAACATGGTTCTATTAATGTAAATTCTACTGAAAGACCAACATTAGAATAAACAAAAATTATCACCCTCTCTTATCCTCTATGATAATCAGACAAATAATAAATTATTCTTAATTTTGGGGTTTTTGAACAATTATTTCTAACTGGAAATATGGGATTAACAACACTTACCTTTTGAGAACAACATCCCCAAATATATCACGCCAGAAGCTAAAGAATACATTGAGAACCCGGTGACTGATGTGCAAAGTGGGACACAGCACTATTGATATATTCTGAAGATTCATCTTAGTTTCAATCTCCTAATGAATAAACATGAGTTATGTTAATAGCTTATTTGAATATGCATAATTAGGTTGAGATATATCAAATATGTCAAGTTAAATGCTGAAGAATACATTGAGTACATAGGACTAATGTGCAGGATGGGACATAGCACTATTGATATATTCTGAAGATTCATCTTCGTTTCAATCTCCTAATGAATAAACATGAGTTATGTTAATACATTATTTGAATATGCATAATGAGTACATAGGACTAATGTGCAGGATGGGACACATCACAATTGAAATGTTTTGAAGATTCATTTTGGTTTCAATCTCCTGATCAGTAAAGATGAATTATGTTAATATGCATAAGTCAGGTTGAACATAGCATAATTTAAATATTAATATTGATATGATTTCAACCTCTTGACGAATACACATGAGTAATAATATAATTTATCATTTGAATATACATATTGTTTACAAGTACAATTACTATAGTTAACAAAGTGTAAAATGGGACGTGACCAACCGAAGTAATCTAAAGATACATCTACGTTTCAATCTCCTGATGAATGTTTATTCATCAGGAGTTATGTTAATACTTCATCAGGAGTTATGTTAATACTTCATTTGAATATTGTTTTAACACAGCTAATCGTGTTATATTGTACACCAGGTCAGCTTGATATATTCAAAAAAATATTCAACTTACATTACTAATGACATGGGCCATGTGAACTATGACCCAAGACAGAAGAGTTTTATTACAAGTAGGAAGTTCATTGATAGCACCACGAAACATTTGAACTTTAAGCTTGTTGTCTTGAGTTTCTGAAACATCAGCAAATAGTGATTTAATCATTTATCCAGGCTATTCTAAAATCATTTTACAATGTCTTGAACACATGTATGGTTATACAAATGCATGTGTATTATCAGAATGAATGGAAAAAGCATAAAATATAGTTCTGCCAGAGTTCAGAATAACTTACAGCATTATTAGGCCTACATTAACTTCCTTTGCAATCTTTTAAAAACCTGACAGAAATTCTTCATAAACATTAATTTTCATTTAAATTTGTTTTTGTATTTGTAATTTAAGTGTCTGTTATTTGGACTCCAAGGAAGAACAATGTCTTTACTCGACTGAGTATCCAGAAAAAAAAAAGGTTTCTATTCTATGTAATTCAACACAAAAAAACAAGATAACAAAATCAATATGCAATCTGCAGAAGCAATTGCATACACTAACATTATTATGCAAATTTATGCATAAATTCAAAGTAAATTATTTTTGAAAAGCATATAGATTTACTTGAGGATTCTTCTAAGGCCAGCATAACCCTTTGAGTCAGGACTGGTTCAGGAAGTTCCCTCAGGAAAAGTTTGAGCAATCCAGCAACAATGTGGGGATCTTGGTCCGTCAAATCGACCTCTTCTCCTGCTGTATCATACGCAGTCCGTAGAGCATCAATGCGAGATTTCACTCCAGATAACCTGTAGATTCCCTCAACAAACATTCCTAAGGAGAAAATTATCAGCAACATAAGGTATCCCATGAGAAGCAAACATAAATTTTAGGAGGTTAGAGGTTTTGATCAATCAATCAATCTATTTACATGAACCCACTTTCCTTCAAAAAAAAAAAGGAGCATTACATTATGAGCATAAATTATTTCAAGAATCCTTCAACACAATTTTTTATAAACATTAGGAAGTGGGGGTTTGTTTCTATGCAGAGAGCAAATCATTATTCCCGATGCAGGTTAGTAGCATCTACTGTATGAGGAGCATACTATTTTTTTTTTAAGAAGGAAAAGAATTGAAAAATTAGAACAGCTTACCATTTGCTTCAATGTAGTCAATACTATCCCTGACAATAAGTGGTAGTTGTATTCCATCATGCGGATTGGATCGCTCAACTGCCAGGCTCAATGGAACACCAAAAACAGGTCGCAACTCAGCTATGAAAATAATAATCCATGATAAATAATTATAATAATAATGATTTGTCATTTGGTCATATTTGCAATCTAAAATTTATATAGGTGTACTGTACAATTATCACCTAATCAAGATATACTATTGTGGTAAAAATACTAAAAAAAAATTAAAACATGTAATTTGAAAGAATTAATAAATATACACATTAAACTAATTATATTTAAACATGAAATATTTAATTTTAGAAAAAATATATATGCTCTAAACAGACAATATATTGTAACCTTTTTTTTAAACTATCCAAGCCTCAATGGCAGCAAATAGCTGTTACAACAGAAAAGAGTAATTTTGTAACAATCTTTAACAATACATTTATACTTAAGTAAGTGGTACGTCCACCCTGTTTATACACACAATTATTCATATCTGATGAATATGTAAATTATTATGCAAATTAACCTACTAAGTTCAGTTGATTCCAATACTGATGATGATGAGTGTTTCTTTGGCTTTTCTCTTTCTTTATTTTCTTTACTTTTACTTCTTGATCTTCCTTTTTCTTTTTCTTTTGATTTTGCCGATACCTTATTTTGCTTTTCTTGTTCCTTCATTGAGCGTTCTTTTTCTTTATTTTTATCTTTTGCTTTTTGTTTCTCCTTTTGTTTTTCCTTCTCTTTCTGTTTCTCCTTTTCTTTCTCTTTAACTTTTGGCTTTTGGAAACCTATTTTGAAAAAGCTTGGTCGCTTTGTAATTTTACCCCTGATTTAAGAAAGAAAAAAATTAACATTCAATTATCAATGTCAATGATATTATAGATATTTACTTTTATCTCATGTTTGATATTATCTTATACATTTTGAAAATTGTACATGATGTGATGATGATGATATACAATAATAATGTTTGCTTTATATGGTAGTATAATTCAAGACAAGGTTCAAGGTTCGATTTATTCAGTCATATATAAAGATACATGAAATTTGTCTTCCTGGGTAATTTAACATACAATATTAGCACAAACAGCAAAAATATTAGTAGGCTATATACACATTGTAAACTTCAAACCTAAAAACATTCTGTCCAAAATCATTCTAACTGTACAATCACAATATTAGAATATGTATCATAAGCAAACAAATATATCAGTTCTTCATTAAAATTTATTTACAATTACTGTAATTGTAATGGAATATCCTTAAATAGAGATATCAACTATAGTATGAAGTGATGATTATCATTGAAAGTTACTGTTAAATAGACAGATTAAGCTTGGCAAGAATGAATTTCTATATCGCACTGTATTAGTCTGAGTTGTTACCATTCTAACCACAACCTATCAAAATTTAACTTATATTACTGATATATTCATTAAAAAAAAGGACCCCTGGTTGCTTGTGTCATCTTCTTCTGAGTTTTTTTCATACTAGCTTAAGTCCTGTCCTGAATATCAAATTTTATTTGACAAAAAAACTACTGTATGCACATACTGTATATAGTCATGATGTGCCCATATATGGTCATGATGTGGTGTCATCATCACCGTATATTTAGAACATGTTTTTGTCAATTAATATTCTAGGCAAAGCTTTAACAACTTGTTAATGTTATCATTATTACTTTTTGGTTTACTTTATTATTAATTATTACTATTATATCATTATTATTATTAGCAGTAGTAGTAATAGTATCCTTATTAATAGTTTGTCTAATGATTTGTTTGCTTTAAAATCAATTGTTATAAGCTAGAGAAATAGGCATACCCCACCTCCCTTCCTACTCACTTCTCAGATGCACCCTCTGGTGTGCTCTCTTCATATTCTTCAAAAGATTTGTACCCTCGTTCTTTCTTCTTTCCCTTATTATCAGCTCTCCAGCCCTTTATCGGTTCGGTATCTGCAAAATCTGACCCAGCTATTAACAAAATGAATATATAGTTAACAACCTATATAAAGTAAAATACAATTTTTTAATGACAGTAATTTTTCACTTGTGGCTTGGTGGTTAAATGAAGTTGTTTTTCTAAGAATCCCAGGGTTTTAGGATTCAGTAAGACACCACGATTTACTAATACCTGATTTGTCAGAGCTGCAGTGACTTTTAGGAAGGTTTGAATTCCACTTGTGTGAAGAGGAAGTGTTTATTTGGTAGGAATATTTCAGGAATTTTATGTACAATATAGCATGCACCTCATATGTCTTGTTTTGTATGAATTAGGTATTAAAGAGAACTACACTCACTAATCCTCATTAGGCAAAACATATTTTTTTACCTTATTTCGTGAACTTATATTTTTAAATATCGTCAGAAAAGAGCGGGAAAAAAAATTTAATGGTGAATGTATACAGTAGTAATGGGATTGTAAAACGCTTTAAATTTATATAATCATCAGGAAGAAATATATATCTTATTGGAGATTTTCAAGGCAGGGACAAGCGTAATATAACTAAAGAAAATCTTTTATTATTTTTCTGAAATTTCCATTTTTCTTTGTCGGCGGGTGAGCTTATTGGCCAAAAATAAAATGTTTATTCGAAATCACTTAACATTTGGTTTAAAAGCCACAAAGTATGGGCATATGCTGGGGGTGAAGAAAATGACCATTATAAAGTTTTCATTGGAGCAGGGATTTAGTTCCACATTCTCAATCTTTTTACTCCCCAGGCCATTTCGCAACTCCAGGCCAAAGCCAGCCTAGGCCCCTGCAAAACAGTGAAAAAAATGCAAATACCACTGAAACTCTCATCGTCATCATCTTGAAAAGTAGATGCCTGGGATGCCACTTCTGCCTCCTTTGAGTTGTCATCTGCCATTTTTTCTAGACTGTAGACAAAGTCTTAAATTTTGTGGAGCTCAGCAGTAGTCTAGAATCAAATAATGGAAAGAAATGTTGAAAAGCATCATAATATGTAGAAAAAATACAATATTTGGAGCGCAATAATACTAAAATAGCATTCCGGGTCAACGTTTCACCTTCGAAATCTCACGCAACTTTGTATTTTGTGAATAATATGGATGGATTAGATAGCCCTAGGCCTATATTTACGTGACCGTAATTTAATTCGGGCACATTAGATTAGCATTAGCCTGATAGGATCCTAGCATATCAGTCCTCAGCCAAAATTAACTAAAATAATTATGCCTAGCTTTTAGATGGCATCCTGTAGGCTAGCTAGGATAGGCGAATCCCCATTAGCTCTGCGTAGCCGTGGCTGGTGCACAGCGCCAATGTATGTAGACAAAGCCTAGGGCGGGCCTGGCTAACTAAGTCCTACGGTAGGCTAGGTTTGTAAATATTAACTATTCCTGTACTAGCCCTGGGCCTAGGACTATAAGTTAAAAGTAAATTATAATTAAATATTGAACATACAATTCAAACTGCAGATGAACTGTATAAATAATAGTCTGCCACCACTGCTTTCAGCTCTTGAACACCACTCCTTCCTTCTTCGTCATAATTATCCAGGCTCCGTTGTTTAGTCAACTCGAGCGCGCCAAAAACTCGAACGATCTGAACAACTCGAGCGATATTGCAAAACAAGACACTGTGACAGTTTAAAAAACTTTAAGCAGGGGTGACGCCAGTGGGGAGGGGGAGGCAGGCAGGGAGGGGCCGTCTGGGACAAGAACCACATTTCGTCGTTGAGAAAAATAAAATCGATTAAATAAGCCTTTGAAACCTCTAAATTGTCAAAATTGTTGGGGGATTTGGTCACTTTTGATATTTTGGGAGACGCCTGACCACGCCCACTTAGCTTTCGTCTGGGACCCCCCCCCCCATAGTAAAACAGTAAAATCTTAAAAAAGCTACATTCTCACCAAAAAAAATCAACATTTAGGCCTATTTAATTTTTATTTAATGTGACAGTAGCGGTTTTTACATAATTTTATTTTGCCATTTTTTTTTTGTCACATAGGATTGACTACAGCTTTATTTTCTTTTTGGCAGTACTTTACGAGCTCTACTTCTTCTGTTTTGTCTATGCCTCAACAATCCATCAATCAATCCATCAATATAAATTATATTGATGGATTGATTGGTCAGTCGGTGGAAGGTGGTCGGTTGGTGACTGGTTGGTTGGTTTTGGTTCGTTGGTTGATTGATTGAACAATCGGGTGGGCGATCGTAATTACAACCCGCTCACAGATAAAAAAGAATAATTTGGAATATATTTAAAAATTTAAATAAACTAGCAAAATCATTGCAACTCAACAATTCAATCCTCTCCACTCTCTTTGTGAGACAAGTTTCCTCCTTTAACTTTAATTTATCCTAATCAAATAGTAGGCCTATAATAGGCCTATTTACTTCTTTGGGAATGGCCTATAGTATTTTCTTCTAATAAATTGTAAAAATTATCGGATATTTGGTAGGTACGCCTGGGTTCAAATCCAAATGAAGAGAAAAAGTTTTTTCAAAAACATTATTACCAGTGAGTTTTTATAAAAACATGATTCATTCATCATATTGATTTTCAAAATAAAGTATTTACGATTTTTTTTTTATTCTGGAAAATTTATTTTAGTGTTTATAATTTGAACACTACCAGCTACTTTCAAGTTGTATTTTTTTCCTATTTTTTTCCTTTTTTTTTTTTTTTTTGCCCTCATATGATCCTCGACTCTTAATTTGTTTGCTTTGCATTTGTTTGTATATATACTAATTAAAAATAATAAAATAGTAACGTGTGGCCTATACAGGCAAATCAGCTTTGGTAATGTATGGGGGTGAGGGTAGGTGATATTTTTCAATCTGAGGGGAATTGGGGTCCAGGGATTCTCTCGAAAAATGTTGAAAACCATGACCACCACCTTCTGGTGTGTTTAAGCTTCTTTCAAAGGAGTTACCATTTTCGTGAATAAACCTTGACCGTCGGAACGGGGTGTGGGGATCGGGTAGGCCCAGGCTTCCACTTTTGGTTGAAAAATGTCTATGGAGACTTTTGTATGATCGGAAAGAAATGCAAGAAAAGAAAAAGGGAAGAAAGGAGAGGGAGGGGAAAGAGAGTGTCTAGCCAGTCCCCGACCAAGTTACATTTTCTAGCAATTCACATTGGCAGATCGGAGGGGGGGGGTGATCAGGGGTCCTTACCCCCTCCCTTAGGCAAAAAAAAAAGAAAGGAAATGGCAAAAAAAGGAAAGAATAAGAACTGTGGAAATGAAAGAAAGGGAAAATATACCGTAATGTAAGAAAAGGTAGAGAAAAGGAAAAACATGAAAAAAGGTAGAAAAATGAAACATGAAAGGAGGAAAAGGGGTTAGGGGAAGAAAAGGAAAGAAAGAAATTGCAGGGAAGTAAAGGAAAAGAGAGACGGGTTGTAAGTATGAAAGAAAGGAAAAGGGGAAAAATAAATGGAAAAAAGAGTAAAAGGTAAGTAAGGCATAATGACCATAGTTAAGGAAATAAATATTTAACAATTATTTAAATAGAAAAAGTAAGTAAAATTCTGTATTTTCAAATTATTTATTTATTAACATTATGTGTACATTTTTATTGTTGTTATTCATTATTGTTACTCATTATTTTTGTTAGGTGAAACTTTTAATATTTTTTCCCACACCATGCTGTAAAGCGCATAGAGGTATTTTATTTTACAGCTATATAAATTGACAATTATTATTATTATTTAGGATTTATCGATTCATTTAAAATAAAAAGGCCTACGTATGCAATTACTCAATTTTTTATGTATGTATATACATAGGGTCTATTATTTACTGTAGGACTAATAAGAATGAGAAAAACTTACCTGACCTTTTTCAAGAGGGGAAAACCCTGAATCCTTCAAAGTCATTAAGACACTTCAGAAGTCGGGAAGCTCCTCTGTCCCGCCTTTCCTGGAGAATCCGAGCTATATTAAATTCTTTGAAAACTTTTAAAATAGCCCGGGGGACTGGATGGCATAAATAGAGCTTTCATTTAATACACAATACACATACCGCCCTCTTGAGTAATTGTCTTCAAAATGGCGCGCGATATGAGAAGGTTTTGAAATGTTTTTGTTGATACTCGAGAGCTGAAGAGTTGAATTTATAAGCTTACATGGCATTACATCTTTTAAATTAAGGAAATACGATGTACGTAGATATCATAATGATTGCGATACCAATTTTTTGATAGTTAGGTTATTAATTATAAATAATAAATTTAGCCTAGGCCTAGACCTGGGCCTAGGCTAGCTAGCTAGCCTAGGCTCCCTACTAGGCCTAGCTATCTAGGTTCCTCTAGGCCTAGGGTCGTAATCGACGTATTGCAGAGAGTGAAAGCACAGTAGCAGACTTCCTTTAGTAGAGGCTGTAGTAGACCTAACCCACGGTGGCAGCCTGGCTAACTTAAGCTAGGCATTAGTCTAATTTAAGTTAGTTCTCGGTAAGGCAAAGTTAGGGCTGGAAACTAGGCCCAGGGAGGCTAGTACACTACTAAGCAGGCCTGTATTTTGTAGTGTGACTTAATATGCGGGAGGTTCATTTCATTGGAAAGTGGATTCTTTTGAAACCATCATACAAGGGTACGATGACGTCATCCACATACAACTATGAAAATATATCTACGATTATATCAATTTTTCATTTTTAAAAGCGGACCTTCTCCGGTTTTTGGGCGGCTCGTCGTAACCTATTTAATCCCCCCCCCTTGCTACATACAGGCCTGGTGGTAATGCTGTGTTCATTAGAACTTGCGAAAACTGATTTCACAACTTGTAACATGACATCCAAGAACACAAGAAGAGTGCATTCAGTTGACGAACGCTCTAAATGGCTGCTGTCACTTTTGCAATGTGTTCGGAAATAAAACATACAAAAAAACTTTTTTTTAATCTGAAATAATATTACGTAAACAAATTGCAATAAATATGTTGGGTTGCAAATAAAACATACAAACAACACTCTTTTTTTATCTGAAATAATATTACTTAATAAACAAGTTGCAATAAATAAATTGTGCATAGCTCATTGTGCATAGTGTCTGTTACATCCGCCATTTTCCACACTACTGTACTTTTGCAAATCGAGGAAGAAAATTCTACTCGAGTTCACAACTTGTGTTTACAAGTTCACCAGCGAGATGAACGCGTTTCACAAGTTGTGAACGCAGCATTAGTCATGGTCTGTTCTGTGGTGAAGACCCACTAGGCCTAAGCTACTGTGTAAAGTTTGTTAAGGAAAATTTCTTGAATTTGAAGTCAGGCAAGGCTGGCCTATGCCAAATTGTGATACTGCCTAGGCCTAGCCTAATATACAATTGGTTAGGCCCCATAAAATAAATTATTAGTTTATCACCCCCTCCCTCATCACTTTGGGGGAAATTCAGATTTTTTTTTTTTTTTTCAATCAGCATATATTTCAAACAGTTGTTTTTTTTTCATCTTTTTTCACTTGAAATGCTAAGAATTTCTTGCAACAAATGTGTTTACTGGTACTACAAAAACATATTTTTTTTAAAGTAAATTTGATTCCATTACTTTTACTTTTTGTATTTGTCCCTAACCATTGATTTTCTTGCGAACATCGGTAAAATGGGGGCAGGGTTAGCAAAAACGAAAACAACAAAAAAACCCTCATCAGTTTTTATTCTTTGATAGGGTGATAAACTAATAATTTTTTTTATGTCGCCTTATATATTAAGATTAGGTCAAACAAAGCCTAATTTTCGGCAAAATCTGCGCCGAGATCAACCCTTACTTTCCGGATTGCGTAGACGGAATGCTAAGCCAAATTTTCCCTGGAGGGTGTACATAATATTTCCTAGCAACAATCTACAGACTTCCCAGGTACTACGGAACCTTGGTAGTTAGGCCTATTTTCTACGGAAATTTTGCCTTATTACAAATGTACAGATAGACAAAAATACTACAGAAATTTATCATAGGCCTAGACCCATAAATAAATAGGTCTAAAATCCAGAATAAATATTTCATGCAGTTCTTTGGTTACTTTGAATCATACTTGTCAGTTTTATGTACATTGTGGCTGTTCTTATGAATAAGAGTAATGATAACAAGTATCATTCTATTTTAGAACTGACATTGTAGGAATTGACACAGAAAACTAAAAATGACGAGTTTGATGAACCCAGGAATTAGCATGAACTTTGATGCAAAAGCCTTAGAAGAACAAGATGAGCAAGAGCAACAGAAGGAAGATTTAAAACGGGAGCAAGAGGTGAAGTATCATAAAAGTAGCAGTTTCTAAGTCAAAATTTAGTTGATTTAAAACAAAGCACTAATAATATACAAGTTATATTTTGCTTTATTTGTTTACTTCCATCATGTAATTTGTGTGTGTCTATTGGATGAGATGCTTAATGAAATTGAGGTCCAGTTAAGCTTCTAATACCAGGCCTGGGATTTATAAATCTCAGCTTAGCAAATATCTTTTAAAGTAAAAAAAAAGTTAAGATGGCCCTAAGCAAATATCTTTAGCTGATTTATCAAACCATCTTAGCAAAATCTTAGCTTAAAAATCGTCTGAGATGGCGCATTCGTACAATTGACTATTTAATTTTAAGCAATTTTTAAGCTAAGTAATATCGATAAATTTGACATAAGCAAAAAAATGGACTTAAGACAAATTTAAGTTGATTTCTAGTTTGATAAATCCAGCCCCAGGTGCATAGCCTGATTTCGGCCATGGGTTCGAAAATTGAGAATACTCATCCCATGGCAACTTATATATTTTACCCCTTTTAGTGGAACTAATTTTCCCTGCACCCCTCTCCCCCACTCACTAATCAACTCCACTCCGTAAGCCTTTAAAGAGAATTAAGGATAAATAATCCCATCCTTTAAATGGCAATTTGGATGTGAAATAAATTGTTATTTATTTGTTCATGGGTTTTATTTATAATTTATAAAAAATATTGACAAATTAAAATCCTCACAAACAAACACAAGAGACGAAAAAAAATAAATAAATAAAGGACAGTCACAAAAAGCATCATTGTACAAAAAAAAAAACTTTTAAAGATGGTAATAACATTATAAAAACAAAACTCTGGGGTTGTGTTTGAATGTATTGTAAATTGGTTTTATGATGTCCATTAACTTGCTTATTCCCCTGACCTCATCCACATTCAGTTTTCATCAACAACTTCTACGAATTCCATCACAGATTTGCGTTGATGGTGACCAGTTCTCTCACATAAATGCATCCATCAACAAATTAAATGTTAACATTAATGTTCTGGAATGTTGAACTATGAAACATGAAACACCACAGGTATTTGTGATGGGATCAACTACGTTGCTACTGAATTTGAACCATGCTAAAGTATGTACTGTACCTAGGGGATGTCTGCTGCCCTCTCTGTTTGGTAAGTGCTTTTTTGGTAAGCTGTTTTAAGGGATTATTGTAATTTCCCCTTAAAACTCAATATGTAACAAATATTTATTTTAATGAACACCTTGTATGTTTGTTGTTGAGAAGGGTTGTTAAGGGAGGTGTTTGGTGTTTTTTGTGTGTGTAAAATGGATATCTATACTCAAATGTCTGTTAATTCGCAAGGATAGGTTTGTCATTGTAACCTAAATTGATGTAGCCAGTTAAATTTTATTTTGTTAAATACAAGTTTATTATTTATGTGACAGAATAACCTTTACTTGCTTTAGCCAGGCTATATAAAAATTGTTTATCGTCAAGTAAAAATCTTCCTAGCATTTTTTTTAGATATACTTAATAAGTAATTTAATCTTATCAACCATAATTACAATAGAGGCATGTTATTGTATTTATAGCTCCCTCTATTGGTTCCGAGATTTCTTCTAATTATAGCATGCATTCATGTGATTCCCAGTGGAGGTAATTCTGTTTATTTTATGTGACAGCTTTTCCAGCGCAATGAACGTTTTAATTATTGTTAACCATTTAACAGCTTTCAGTTTCATCCTCATTAAACCAAACACAAGAAATTATATTCAATGGAAGTATTTTTCTTAAAACATACTTGTTGATAGTTTTGATTGAGCTATGGTGATACTTTGAAAAGAATTTTTTTAATAGTTGTTAGGATAGGAGCAGTTGTGGGTATTAAAGGGGTCACAGCTTGTATGTAGGTTGTACTCCTTTCTTGTTTTGACGGAAGTGTTTTCTCTGTTGGGAAAGTTGATACATTTTTGGTGTAGGTATAAACCTGTTCACACCTGTTGTGTTGAGACATAATTTGTGAGAGATGAAAGTACATGTTTATGTCTTGATGGGTTTAAGTATGCTTAACTAGAAATTGCAAATTACAAGTGAAGTGCTGCGAAGTACAACTGCATATAAATGTTCTTCGAACAAAATTATTTATGCGAGTCAAGTGAAAATAATGAATAATATTTAATAAAAATATAACAAATAATATGAGACACGACCCATTGTCTATATTAGAACACTTCTCATTGGGTAACAAAGTCGTAATTTTTAATTTTTTGTCAAAAAGTGTCTATAGTGGTGAATTATGGTTTAGGTTTTTTTTAATAAAGTTTCAAAACTTTCCATGTATGTGGAAAATTTAGTTGATTACCAAAGGTTACAATTTTTTATTTTGAAGACTGCATGGTCTAGGAAGTGTACATTTTTTTATGGAGCAAGTTTCCAAGGGCGGGTTTTCTAGGGGCGAGTTGACTGCCAAAGAGTGTTACCAAAGTGCGAGCCAGCGTGTTATTTGATCACAAGTGCGAGACATCACAAGAAGTGTGAGCCGGCGAGCCATGACGTCACGACAATAGATACGAGACGTTAACGAGTTTTGCGAGGTATCAGCTGAGATTTGTGGAGTACAATTCAAAAAACAACTATAGGTCTAATAATGAATTATTGTGATGTTAAATAGACAATGTTAGCTATCAAGGAGCGACGTTGTTTTTCATTGGGACCTTCGGCCCTTCAAGGCTATGCCTATACCATCCTAGCTAGTCTAGGCCTAGAGTAGGATAAGGTTAGCGTGACATGCGGACGTTGGTACGTGTAGGTTAGTCTACAAACGTCGCCTAAAGTAATTGATTTTACCCGGCAGAACGAAAGAAGGAAACTCCGCTTTTCAGTCATCTTAGGCCCTTGTTTTTTGACAAACAATGACCTTTCAGAGGTCAAATTGCTGTCAAGAATATGAATTGGCTGCTTCGCAGCAATTACAATAGACCCTGCTTTTGGAACACCTCTATTAAGGACACCCTATTTTATAAACACCCCTGTAAAGGGGACACTTTTGGCTGCTAATCAAGAGAAAATATATTTTGTCTATTGAAAATTACTGCATTTTACTGAAAAACATATTTAACCAGAGATATTTGTATTATATTAATACTAACCTACATATGAATCTTTACCAAACAATTAAAATATAATTATGTATTTTTATTATTATTGTTTATTATCAATTAGATATTTATATTTTGATAATTACTGCCTTCATTAATAAATAAACATGAAAAGAGATTTATTAATTACTCCAATTATTATTAAGTATTTATTCTATTCAACTTCTTTTAAGTACAATATTTTGTGTTTTATAAATATACTGTATTCTTGTAAATGAAATAAGTCAAATCAAATTTATTTTACACAAATTTTTTAAATATTTTTGACACACAACATTCCATCAAACTTAAATATTTTTTTTCTCACAAGTTATATTTAGCATGATAAAAAAAAACACTTGCCAATAACTGCTATACTTTAATATACATACCAACATACATTCAGATATGCTTTGATATGTACGTCAGTGACTTTGCCTACATGCCTATCAATCAAACACCATGCTATGGTTACGGATAAAACAAAGTGGGCGGAGTTACATCATGCAATGCTTGAGATAGGATGCTTTGACTGTTATTGCTCCAGTATTACTAGTTATGGGTGGAGCTTAGTTGAATTGGCTTGGCAGGGTCCCAGTTATTTCATAAATATGCATGATTGACAGTGGTCAACTTGGGCAGTTTATATGGGATTTGGAAGTATAAGCTGAAAAATGAAGGACTAAACTACTTGTATTCTAGTCCTTATAATAAAGTTTACTGTCAAATCTTACCTATTATCAAGCAGGTAAATAAATTTATTATTATTTATAAATGCTTTTTAATTTTAAATTTATTGTTTGCGGTATTTTCTTGTTTAGAAATTTATTATTAGTAAATATTTTATGCTTTTAGATTTGTGATAAATTTTGTATTTGCAATTATTAGTACAATCATTATTGGCCTTTCCATGTCATAGATTTTGTTCTAGAGTATTATGAATAAATTTTTACTAAAAACTGTGGACATACAATGTTCTTTTATTTATGCTGCTGACTGCTTGGTGCAACAGTCTCCCTATGATATAACTTCTACTTTACAAAGACCCTTTTTTCCTGTAGCTATTCAAATGCGGTGCGTCTTTGAACTAGTTTGGAATTGGCATTTTATGAATATGATTATTATTGTCAAACTATTTCAAGTTTGAAGCATTGTATTTTTTCTGTTTCATTTTACTTTTAATGATTTTACTTTGCATATCGTAAACCAAATTTCTAAATTGTTTGCTTGCAGCTTGGTTGTTAGACTCAACAGTGTTGAGCTAATTTTCCCCCATTTCTTACTTTAATTAATTAAAATTTATTATTTTTCTAAAAAATGAACTATTTACCATGACAATTAATAGAATGATAAATAATCCTGATTCTCCAATTTTATTTATTTATTTTATTCCAATTACATCCAACAGCGGAATCGCTCATTACAGGTTATCTTAAACATAACTTAAAGATATATAAAATATAGTAAAATAAAACAATAACATACAAAGGAAGCGAATCGACAAAATAGAGAGTCCCTAGCTTAACTAAAAGAAGGCCTACAAAATTAGCAACTTTGGATTTAAATGTGGAAATACATAGTTGTTTTAAGTGATTACAAATATTTTAGGGAAACTTTAAATGCTGTCACTGCATATGTTCAACTTCTATTCTGTTTTACAGCCAGCTCTTTTATCAATATTCTTGCACTTGTACTCCTAAATTGGCTAGTGATCAATAGAAGGATTACCGTAGTAAGTAGTCTGTAAATCACGAAGGCTCAATTACTTCAATCAGTGGAAGTTGGGGACTAAGTTTAATTCATTGCTCATGGTACACTACAGGTCTACAATTTTGAAGATTTTTTTTTTTTTTTTTTTTTTTTAAGATTTGATCACAGACTACTTCAAAAAATGATCTTGTATAATCCTGTTAATGAGTATTTTAGAAATTAATTTGCTGCATGGAAATTTATCTTTCATGTCATGTCTTTATATAATTTAAACTGAAAAAATTACTGACAGTATTAACCCAGCCACAAGGTTACTTGCCCAGCCACTTTGGCCAGTCCTATAATAGTAGTACACAGCTGGTGTAAACACTGATTTGGTGTAAGCACTAAGGATAGCCCACGAAAGTCTAGAAGAAGACTTATTTCCAGCGGGGTCCTTCTGGTGATGATTGGGCAGTACACCAGGAGACAATCCCCTACTCTTTTCCGAAGAGTGTACTGCGTTCTTTAACATGCACATGGGCCATCAATACACACAGGACCAACGGCTTAAACGTCTCATCCGAAAGACGGTGCGCTATTATAACTTGTATTTCAGCCTTCCAGCTGAAATACAAGGAGAGGCAGTGATGGGAATTGAACCAGGGACCTAGAGATCTCCACGGTTCAGCGCACACAAGTGGCTACCACCAGATTAGCCAACTGAGCTAAGCTGCTGGGAATCAACCCAGTCATTGGCCCAGGATATGACAGACAATTTGCCCAGCCTATGATTGATAGGCAACTTGTCCAGATTATGATAGGCAACTTTCGCAGCCTGACATAGGCAACTTGCCCAGCCTATCATAGGCAAATTGCTCAGCCTATAATGAGCAACTTGACCAGCCTATATGATCAACTTTTCCAGCCTAATGATAGGCAACTTGTCCAGGCTGTGATTGGAAACTTGCCAGCATAAATGAGCAATTCGCCAGCCATGATCTACTTGCCCAGCCTATGATAGCAAACTAAGTCTAGCTTTATGATAGGCAACTTGCATTGTCTACTGAGGCTACCTTAATCAGTTACTATGGCAAACCAGAGCCTGTTTTAACTACAACCAATTTGTGCTTATTATCCTACCAATGTTTCCCACTCACCTTTTCACCTCTACTTAATTATAAACCAATGTATCCCACTGTATTCAGAATTATCATTTGTAATAAGTCCGTGAGAAATTCAACATTCAGGAACGTGTTGGTTAATTCAATTAAACTTCAACTAATCTTTCTCAGGAAATTAATATTAAGTTTATGTACTTCCCATCAAGATGGGTTTTGTAAATTTGATATCCAATTCTTGTTATTAAAAATAAGGTTTAATTTTACCTTCATGAGAGACACTACATTAATAGACTTAATTTATTGTTTATTTATCTTTATATTTTTATTCAAGTAAACCCATTGCCACCACAAACAAGCGTTGAATTCTTGTAAATAGGAACGTACAAACACTGGTGGTAGAGTAGTTTGGGTTTTTAACACGTTGACTGCCAGACCTTTTTTTTAGGTTCCTTTCCTTGTGCCAAAACAAATTTACATGTATCTGGTCATAAATAATCAAAATGATAAATTTGCAGGAAATATTAGGGGATCAGTAAACTCGTCGCTGGTACTGGGACAGCATTTTTTATTGTCTCTGACAAGTGCGAGTTTTCTCGTCCACTTTTTGCATGAGGTAGTATATAATCAGAGGGCGCCCCATTCGTACAATTGACAGAGTGTACTGCCAGCAACGTAACACAACAAACATACACACATACGATATTTGTACGTTATCGTCTAGGTGTATTTTCCCCGAACTGCCAGTCGTTAAGTCTGTGGTTCTACAATGTATAACAAAGAAGTAATAAATGCTAGAATGCTAGCGCAATTTTGACGAGTACATTCATCCATAGTGCCCTCATCAAGACTGTGGGATAAGTATACTGTACCTCGTACCTGGCAGCGAATTTGTTAACTAGATTAACTATGTGTGAATGTCAACGCAAAGTGCCTTATTTCATTTCACACCATAGGAGAGGAGCTTTAGGTGAGGTATGACATAGGGCTACACTTACTCACCTCATCATATGACAAATAAGCCTATCAGGAAAATTTCAATTACATAACTTCACATTTCAGTGTATATTTTTTGCAACAGTCTTGCTTTTTTTCAGTGGATCTAATTGCTGCTACTTAGAAAAAGTGTTTGCATTTTGGTTTAGCTTAAAAGATTCATATACTGTACATCGATCAATGCTTATCATTCAAAATTAAATTTTCTATGGTGTGTAATACACATAGAATGTTTAAGAGATTAAATAATATAATAATTATTAGGTGCTGCAATTATAACTTTGCATTTAACATGAAAATATAAGAGGTGCAGTAACCACTTTTGTTTTGGCAAATGATTTCCTATTCCACTATTCAAATGTAATCCCAAATACACCCCCACCCCTTACTGAAAATATGCTGATTAAACAAATTATGCTGATTAAACAAATTGTGCCCACACTTAAGTTAGTACCCCTAGTTATGGCACAGTTACTTAAAATTGTCTACATGTAATTGATGATTAATAATACCAACAGCTTTTATTAAACCGTCCTATAATAAGCTTTAAATTTAATTACATTACTTTTATATAGTTTATTATCAAATCTTGAATTATTATGTGTACAGTAATGTTTAGAATATCAAATAAAGTATTTTCTCCAAAAACTGGAAATTCATACTGATATTCCATATAGAAAAGTAGAAAGAATCATTTGATTACTTTGTCTCTCTGAGTTATAAATTGTGATACCATAAATGGGGCAGAATGTGTCTTAGTTACTATTTGTCAAACACATGGCATTACCAAATGTCTAAATTATATCATTCGGTAGATAACATACCAAGTTAACAACTCTGAAGTGTTAAAGTCAAACACACGAAATGATAACATTATTATACCTCTGAACAGTAATGTACCTAAAGTAAATACTCAGGGGTGGATCCAGTAGAGGTGCCCTGATTATGTTCCCCCCCCCCCCAATTGAAAAATTCTGGATCCGCCCCTGACTCTGCCATAGTTATTGGTGCCCTAATATTGTACATGTGTCTACTGTCCTACATGGGGCAGTACTTAGCTATTGACCCACTTATAGGTTGTGAAGGTAAATCCAGTTGTTGTCATAAGCTAAAAATAGAAATTGAAGTCTTCTAAAATAAGCCTAGTGAAATTATGATGCCGCATGCTTAGATAAAATCTCTCCTAGAAAGAACTAAAAAGTCAACAATCTGTTACTTATTCATGTGCATTGCCAACGCAGAAAGCGTGGATGGGTTATTAGCTAGGCCTAGTTACACTAGAACTATGTCAAGAAGTAGACAAACCCTCCCATTGGGAGCCTGTTTTTGAATTTTTGTTTTTACTTTTACTACTACTGTACCATACCAATTCCCCAGTTTTCGGTGTTTTAAATGATTGCTTGTCGCAGTAAACCCAAGGTCCTGGGTCCAAATTATGTGCTGAGTCACTTACTGAATTTATGTTTTACATTACCACAACTGTATCTTTTTAGTCGTAAATGGGTTATTTTGCTTGTAGAAAGCTGAATCCATGTTTTTCCATGTTTTAGGCTTGTGGTATATATATAATGCAGTACACCACGTAGATAGTTCTGAAAAGATCAGTTGTTCGTTGAGAATATCTCGATGTTTCGATTGAGTTGCTTCAGCCGTCTTCAGGAGAATAATTGGGACTTTCAGATTGTGTGGACGTGGACCTGGTTCACGTCGACTAGTCATGCGTGTCAACGTAGTCAACTATACCTGTTGACTACAAATGAAAACCTTTTAGATTTCAGTCGACATGTAGCGCGCGTTAGGCAACCTTATTAAGCAGCTGTCATGGTGAACCTTCATCGACTTCGCAAAATTGTCATCTTTGCATATTCTACAGGTGTCTTGGACGATGAGGAATTCATGTTTTTATACAATACAAATAAATCCAAAAATGCCGAATTCAGGT